TATTGGTATTACAATCGAGGCTACAATTATTGAAAATTAATTTACAAGTTACACAATTGAATGAGAGATGGCTTTATTAATAATATACTGATTAAATTTGTTGATAAACATGAAAATTATACAATATTTTTAAAATACAAAAAGACACATTAAACTGTCGCAAAATTAATAATTTTATTAATGAAAACAATTTATATTGAGTGTTTAAATTGCAATGCATATCTTAAAAGATAATAGTCGAATAACATTTGACCTACTAAATTATCAATGCTTAAATTGCGGAGTCATGGATCATGATTACCTATTAAGATAAACAATTTACAAGTTTGTTTTTAGTATTTAAGTTTGTTTGAGAGTGGAAGTCTAGAAATCTTTATATCGGAGGAAACCGGCGAACATATAATGCTGGAAATAATATATTAAAATGGCATATTAAGTGGCTATTTTGTGGTAAAAGTATCAGTGTGGTCCAGTTTCGATTTGGGTCGGTTCAAAGTGGATTTGGGTTCTACGTAGTGAGACGAAGAGATTGATATATTGTACGCTCAAAACGGATAATCGGTGAATGAGATATTGATTCTCAATGTAGACCAATTTGAGTTGGAAACGTGAAGGGAAAAAGCTTGGGAATAGCTTTAGTCCCACATTGGTTTGGGAAGTGGATTTGCACCACTATTTGTACAATAGCTCTTCTAAGGCTTCTTGATTTGTATAGCATAGAGGCTCTCTCTCCCGCGTAGGAGGGGTGTGCAAATCAAAACCCAATCTGAGTAAATGAAGGTTTGAACTTGTGTAGGGATACCCTATTATAACCCCATAACTAATCACACACTTCATGTGGTGGTATTCCCTTATTTTGTAGGATTATTATTGGATTTTTCCAACGAAATATCTGACAATTGGAAAAGTATGGATACCCTATTATAACCCCATCACTAATCAAGCACTTCTTGTGGTGCTATTCCCTTGTTTTGTAGGATAACCACATCACTAATCACACACTTCTTGTGGTGCTATTCCCTTATTTTGTAGGGGATTATTATTGGGTTTTACCAACGAAATGTCCCAGAATTGGACAAGTAGGGATACCCTATTATAACCCCATCAATAGAGACACACTTTACATGGTCTATTCCCTTATTTTGTAGGAGCGGCATGCCACCAAAATGGTGGAATAATTGTGCATTTGCCCACCCTAGGGCTCAAACCCAGGACCACAAGGTTAAGAGCCTTGCGCTCTGCCAACTGAGCTAGACGGGCAAGTAGTTGTTCATATTTAATATTGGTATTACAATCGAGGCTACAATTATAGAAAATTTATTTACAAGTTACACAATTGAATGAGAGATGGCTTTATGAATAATATAATGATTAAATTTGTTGATAAACATTTGTTTTAAAATTAAACAGTATTTTTAAAATACAAAAAAATGACACATTAAACTGTCGCAAAATTAATAATTTTATTAATGAAAACAATTTATATTGAGTGTTTAAATTGCAATGCATATCTTAAAAGATAATAGTCGAATAACATATTGACCTACTAAATTATCAATGCTTATATTGCGGAGTCATGGATCATGATTACTTAGTAAGATAAACAATTTACAAGTTTGTTTTTAGTATTTAAGTTTGTTTGAGAGTGGAAGTCTAGAAATATTTATATCGGAGGAAACCGCCGAACATATAATGCTGGAAAAAATATATTAAAATGGCATATTAAGTTGCTATTTTGTGGTAAAAGTATCAGTGTGGTCCAGTTTCGATTTGGGTCGGTTCAAAGTGGATTTGGGTTCTACGTAGTGAGACGAAGAGTGATATATTGTACGCTCAAAACGGATAATCGGTGAATGAGATATTGATTCTCAAAGTAGACCAATTTGAGTTGGAAACGTGAAGAGAAAAAGCTTGGGAGTTGCTATTGTCCCACATTGGTTTGGGAAGTGGATTTGCACCACTATTTGTACAAGAGCTCTTCTAAGGCTTCTTAATTTGTATAGCATAGAGGCTCTCTCTCTCGCGTAGGAGGGGTGTGCAAATCAAAACCCAATCTGAGTAAATGAAGGTTTGAACTTGTGTAGGGATACCCTATTATAACCCCATCACTAATCACACACTTCATGTGGTGGTATTCCCTTATATTGTAGGATTATTATTTGATTTTTCCAACGAAATATCCGACAATTGGACAAGTATGGATACCCTATTATAACCCCATCACTAATCAAGCACTTCTTGTGGTGCTATTTCCTTATTTTGTAGGATAACCACATCACTATTCCCTTATTTTGTAGGGGATTATTATTGGGTTTTACCAACGAAATGTCCCACAAATGGACAAGTAGGGATACCCCCTATTATAACCCCATCACAAGTCACACACTTCACATGGTCTATTCCCTTATTTTGTAGGAGCGGCATGCCACCAAAATGGTGGAGTAATTATGCATTCGCCCACCCTGGGGCTCGAACCCAGGACCACAAGGTTAAGAGCCTTGCGCTCTACCAACTGAGCTAGACGAGCAAGTAGTAGTTCATATTTAATATTGGTATTACAATCGAGGCTACAATTATTGAAAATTAATTTACAAGTTACACAATTGAATGAGAGATGGCTTTATTAATAATATACTGATTAAATTTGTTGATAAACTTGAAAATTATACAATATTTTTAAAATACAAAAAGACACATTAAACTGTCGCAAAATTAATAATTTTATTAATGAAAACAATTTATATTGAGTGTTTAAATTGCAATGCATATCTTAAAAGATAATAGTCGAATAACATTTGACCTACTAAATTATCAATGCTTAAATTGCGGAGTCATGGATCATGATTACCTATTAAGATAAAAAATTTACAAGTTTGTTTTTAGTATTTAAGTTTGTTTGAGAGTGGAAGTCTAGAAATATTTATATCGGAGGAAACCGGCGAACATATAATGCTGGAAAAAATATATTAAAATGGCATATTAAGTGGCTATTTTTTGGTAAAAGTATCAGTGTGGTCCAGTTTCGATTTGGGTCGGTTCAAAGTAGATTCGGGTTTTACGTAGTGAGACGAAGAGATTGATATATTGTACGCTCAAAACGGATAATCGGTGAATGAGATATTGATTCTCAATGTAGACCAATTTGAGTTGGAAACGTGAAGGGAAAAAGCTTGGGAGTAGCTTTAGTCCCACATTGGTTTGGGAAGTGGATTTGCACCACTATTTGTACAATAGCTCTTCTAAGGCTTCTTGATTTGTATAGCATAGAGGCTCTCTCTCCCGCGTAGGAGGGGTGTGCAAATCAAAACCCAATCTGAGTAAATGAAGGTTTGAACTTGTGTAGGGATACCCTATTATAACCCCATAACTAATCACACACTTCATGTGGTGGTATTCCCTTATTTTGTAGGATTATTATTGGATTTTTCCAACGAAATATCTGACAATTAGATAAGTATGGATACCCTATTATAACCCCATCACTAATCAAGCACTTCTTGTGGTGCTATTCCCTTGTTTTGTAGGATAACCACATCACTAATCACACACTTCTTGTGGTGCTATTCCCTTATTTTGTAGGGGATTATTATTGTGTTTTACCAACGAAATGTCCCAGAATTGGACAAGTAGGGATATCCTATTATAACCCCATCAATAGAGACACACTTTACATGGTCTATTCCCTTATTTTGTAGGAGCGGCATGCCACCAAAATGGTGGAATAATTGTGCATTTGCCCACCCTAGGGCTCAAACCCAGGACCACAAAGTTAAGAGCCTTGCGCTCTACCAACTGAGCTAGACGGGCAAGTAGTTGTTCATATTTAATATTGGTATTACAATCGAGGCTACAATTATAGAAAATTTATTTACAAGTTACACAATTGAATGAGAGATGGCTTTATGAATAATATAATGATTAAATTTGTTGATAAACATTTGTTTTAAAATTAAACATTATTTTTAAAATACAAAAAAAAGACACATTAAACTGTCGTAAAATTAATAATTTTATTAATGAAAACAATTTATATTGAGTGTTTAAATTGCAATGCATATCTTAAAAGATAATAGTCGAATAACATATTGACCTACTAAATTATCAATGCTTATATTGCGGAGTCATGGATCATGATTACTTAGTAAGATAAACAATTTACAAGTTTGTTTTTAGTATTTAAGTTTGTTTGAGAGTGGAAGTCTAGAAATATTTATATCGGAGGAAACCGCCGAACATATAATGCTGGAAAAAATATATTAAAATGGCATATTAAGTTGCTATTTTGTGGTAAAAGTATCAGTGTGGTCCAGTTTCGATTTGGGTCGGTTCAAAGTGGATTCGGGTTCTACGTAGTGAGACGAAGAGTGATATATTGTACGCTCAAAACGGATAATCGGTGAATGAGATATTGATTCTCAAAGTAGACCAATTTGAGTTGGAAACGTGAAGAGAAAAAGCTTGGGAGTTGCTATTGTCCCACATTGGTTTGGGAAGTGGATTTGCACCACTATTTGTACAAGAGCTCTTCTAAGGCTTCTTAATTTGTATAGCATAGAGGCTCTCTCTCTCGCGTAGGAGGGGTGTTCAAATCAAAACCCAATCTGAGTAAAATGAAGGTTTGAACTTGTGTAGGGATACCCTATTATAACCCCATCACTAATCACACACTTCATGTGGTGGTATTCCCTTATATTGTAGGATTATTATTTGATTTTTCCAACGAAATATCCGACAATTGGACAAGTATGGATACCCTATTATAACCCCATCACTAATCAAGCACTTCTTGTGGTGCTATTTCCTTATTTTGTAGGATAACCACATCACTATTCCCTTATTTTGTAGGGGATTATTATTGGGTTTTACCAACGAAATGTCCCACAAATGGACAAGTAGGGTTACCCTATTATAACCCCATCACTAGTCACACACTTCACATGGTCTATTCCCTTATTTTGTAGGAGCGGCATGCCACCAAAATGGTGGAGTAATTATGCATTCGCCCACCCTTGGGCTCGAACCAAGGACCACAAGGTTAAGAGCCTTGCGCTCCACCAATTGAGCTAGACGGGCAAGTAGTAGTTCATATTTAATATTGGTATTACAATCGAGGCTACAATTATTGAAAATTAATTTACAAGTTACACAATTGAATGTGAGATGGCTTTATTAATAAAATACTGATTAAATTTGTTGATAAACATGAAAATTATACAATATTTTTAAAATACAAAAAGACACATTAAACTGTCGCAAAATTAATAATTTTATTAATGAAAACAATTTATATTGAGTGTTTAAATTGCAATGCATATCTTAAAAGATAATAGTCGAATAACATTTGACCTACTAAATTATCAATGCTTAAATTGCGGAGTCATGGATCATGATTACCTATTAAGATAAACAATTTACAAGTTTGTTTTTAGTATTTAAGTTTGTTTGAGAGTGGAAGTCTAGGAAATATTTATATCGGAAGAAACCGCCGAACATATAATGCTGGAAAAATATATTAAAATGGCATATTAAGTGGCTATTTTATGGTAAAAGTATCAGTGTGGTCCAGTTTCGATTTGGGTCGGTTCATAGTGGATTCGGGTTCTACGTAGTGAGACGAAGAGATTGATATATTGTACGCTCAAAACGGATAATCGGTGAATGAGATATTGATTCTCAATGTAGACCAATTTGAGTTGGAAACGTGAAGGGAAAAAGCTTGGGAGTAGCTTTAGTCCCACATTGGTTTGGGAAGTGGATTTGCACCACTATTTGTACAATAGCTCTTCTAAGGCTTCTTGATTTGTATAGCATAGAGGCTCTCTCTCCCGCGTAGGAGGGGTGTGCAAATCAAAACCCAATCTGAGTAAATGAAGGTTTGAACTTGTGTAGGGATACCCTATTATAACCCCATAACTAATCACACACTTCATGTGGTGGTATTCCCTTATTTTGTAGGATTATTATTGGATTTTTCCAACGAAATATCTGACAATTGGAAAAGTATGGATACCCTATTATAACCCCATCACTAATCAAGCACTTCTTGTGGTGCTATTCCCTTGTTTTGTAGGATAACCACATCACTAATCACACACTTCTTGTGGTGCTATTCCCTTATTTTGTAGGGGATTATTATTGGGTTTTACCAAGAAATGTCCCAGAATTGGACAAGTAGGGATACCCTATTATAACCCCATCAATAGAGACACACTTTACATGGTCTATTCCCTTATTTTGTAGGAGCGGCATGCCACCAAAATGGTGGAATAATTGTGCATTTGCCGACCCTAGGGCTCAAACCCAGGACCACAAGGTTAAGAGCCTTGCGCTCTGCCAACTGAGCTAGACGGGCAAGTAGTTGTTCATATTTAATATTGGTATTACAATCGAGGCTACAATTATAGAAAATTTATTTACAAGTTACCAATTGAATGAGAGATGGCTTTATGAATAATATAATGATTAAATTTGTTGATAAACATTTGTTTTAAAATTAAACAGTATTTTTAAAATACAAAAAAAAGACACCATTAAACTGTCGTAAAATTAATAATTTTATTAATGAAAACAATTTATATTGAGTGTTTAAATTGCAATGCATATCTTAAAAGATAATAGTCGAATAACATATTGACCTACTAAATTATCAATGCTTATATTGCGGAGTCATGGATCATGATTACTTAGTAAGATAAACAATTTACAAGTTTGTTTTTAGTATTTAAGTTTGTTTGAGAGTGGAAGTCTAGAAATATTTATATCGGAGGAAACCGCCGAACATATAATGCTGGAAAAAATATATTAAAATGGCATATTAAGTTGCTATTTTGTGGTAAAAGTATCAGTGTGGTCCAGTTTCGATTTGGGTCGGTTCAAAGTGGATTCCGGGTTCTACGTAGTGAGACGAAGAGTGATATATTGTACGCTCAAAACGGATAATCGGTGAATGAGATATTGATTCTCAAAGTAGACCAATTTGAGTTGGAAACGTGAAGAGAAAAAGCTTGGGAGTTGCTATTGTCCCACATTGGTTTGGGAAGTGGATTTGCACCACTATTTGTACAAGAGCTCTTCTAAGGCTTCTTAATTTGTATAGCATAGAGGCTCTCTCTCTCGCGTAGGAGGGGTGTGCAAATCAAAAACCCAATCTGAGTAAATGAAGGTTTGAACTTGTGTAGGGATACCCTATTATAACCCCATCACTAATCACACACTTCATGTGGTGGTATTCCCTTATATTGTAGGATTATTATTTGATTTTTCCAACGAAATATCCGACAATTGGACAAGTATGGATACCCTATTATAACCCCATCACTAATCAAGCACTTCTTGTGGTGCTATTTCCTTATTTTGTAGGATAACCACATCACTATTCCCTTATTTTGTAGGGGATTATTATTGGGGTTTTACCAACGAAATGTCCCACAAATGGACAAGTAGGGATACCCCCTATTATAACCCATCACTAGTCACACACTTCACATGGTCTATTCCCTTATTTTGTAGGAGCGGCATGCCACCAAATGGTGGAGTAATTATGCATTCGCCCACCCTGGGGTTGAACCCAGGACCACAAGGTTAAGAGCCTTGCGCTCTACAACTGAGCTAGACGAGCAAGTAGTAGTTCATTATTTAATATTGGTATTACAATCGAGGCTACAATTATTGAAAATTAATTTACAAGTTACACAATTGAATGAGAGATGGCTTTATTAATAATATACTGATTAAATTTGTTGATAAACATGAAAATTATACAATATTTTTTAAAATACAAAAGACACATTAAACTGTCGCAAAATTAATAATTTTATTAATGAAAACAATTTATATTGAGTGTTTAAATTGCAATGCATATCTTAAAAGATAATAGTCGAATAACATTTGACCTACTAAATTATCAATGCTTAAATTGCGGAGTCATGGATCATGATTACCTATTAAGATAAACAATTTACAAGTTTGTTTTAGTATTTAAGTTTGTTTGAGAGTGGAAGTCTAGAAATATTTATATCGGAGGAAACCGGCGAACATATAATGCTGGGAAAAAATATATTAAAATGGCATATTAAGTGGCTATTTTGTGGTAAAGTATCAGTGTGGTCCAGTTTCGATTTGGGGTCGATTCAAAGTGGATTCGGGTTTACGTAGTGAGACGAAGAGATTGATATATTGTACGCTCAAAACGGATAATCGGTGAATGAGATATTGATTCTCAATGATAGACCAATTTGAGTTGGAAACGTGAAGGGAAAAAGCTTGGGAGTAGCTTTAGTCCCACATTGGTTTGGGAAGTGGATTTGCACCACTATTTGTACAATAGCTCTTCTAAGGCTTCTTGATTTGTTATAGCATAGAGGCTCTCTCTCCCGCGTAGGAGGGGTGTGCAAATCAAAACCCAATCTGAGTAAATGAAGGTTTGAACTTGTGTAGGGATACCCTATTATAACCCATAACTAATCACACACTTCATGTGGTGGTATTCCCTTATTTTGTAGGATTATTATTGGATTTTTCCAACGAAATATCTGACAATTGGAAAAGTATGGATACCCTATTATAACCCATCACTAATCAAGCACTTCTTGTGGTGCTATTCCCTTGTTTTGTAGGATAACCACATCACTAATCACACACTTCTTGTTGTGCTATTCCTTATTTTGTAGGGATTATTATTGGGTTTTACCAAAGAAATGTCCCAGAATTGGACAAGTAGGGATACCCTATTATAACCCCCATCAATAGAAACACACTTTACATGGTCTATTCCCTTATTTTGTAGGAGCGGCATGCCACCAAAATGGTGGAATAATTGTGCATTTGCCCACCCTGGGCTCAAACCCAGGACCACAAGGTTAAGAGCCTTGCGCTCTACCAACTGAGCTAGACGGGCAAGTAGTTGTTCATATTTAATATTGGTATTACAATCGAGGCTACAATTATGAAAATTTATTTACAAGTTACACAATTGAATGAGAGATGGCTTTATGAATAATATACTGATTAAATTTGTTGATAAACATTTGTTTTAAAATTAAACAGTATTTTTAAAATACAAAAAAAGACACATTAAACTGTCGTAAAATTAATAATTTTATTAATGAAAACAATTTATATTGAGTGTTTAAATTGCAATGCATATCTTAAAAGATAATAGTCGAATAACATATTGACCTACTAAATTATCAATGCTTATATTGCGGAGTCATGGATCATGATTACTTAGTAAGATAAACAATTTACAAGTTTGTTTTTAGTATTTAAGTTTGTTTGAGAGTGGAAGTCTAGAAATATTTATATCGGAGGAAACCGCCGAACATATAATGCTGGAAAAAATATATTAAAATGGCATATTAAGTTGCTATTTTGTGGTAAAAGTATCAGTGTGGTCCAGTTTCGATTTGGGTCGGTTCAAAGTGGATTCGGGTTCTACGTAGTGAGACGAAGAGTGATATATTGTACGCTCAAAACGGATAATCGGTGAATGAGATATTGATTCTCAAAGTAGACCAATTTGAGTTGGAAACGTGAAGAGAAAAAGCTTGGGAGTTGCTATTGTCCCACATTGGTTTGGGAAGTGGATTTGCACCACTATTTGTACAAGAGCTCTTCTAAGGCTTCTTAATTTGTATAGCATAGAGGCTCTCTCTCTCGCGTAGGAGGGGTGTGCAAATCAAAACCCAATCTGAGTAAATGAAGGTTTGAACTTGTGTAGGGATACCCTATTATAACCCCATCACTAATCACACACTTCATGTGGTGGTATTCCCTTATTTGTAGGATTATTATTTGATTTTTCCAACGAAATATCCGACAATTGGACAAGTATGGATACCCTATTATAACCCCATCACTAATCAAGCACTTCTTGTGGTGCTATTTCCTTATTTTGTAGGATAACCACATCACTATTCCCTTATTTTGTAGGGGATTATTATTGGTTTTACCAACGAAATGTCCCACAATTGGACAAGTAGGGATACCCTATTATAACCCCATCACTAGTCACACACTTCACATGGTCTATTCCCTTATTTTGTAGGAGCGGCATGCCACCAAAATGGTGGAGT